CCTGGTACAAAAAAAAACCCAAAAAACCCCTCAAACAGGGGCCAAGGGTATATACTCAGTGGCATGGTGCCTGCCTGGCAAGAGCAAGGTCCTGAGTTCTATTCCAGGTTCCAGAAAACAAAACAGATGAGTCCTTTGAAAAAAATTATGAGTATTCCATTTCCATCTTATCCTTATCGGGAACTCTGCAAATCTTGGCCAGCACTGCCAAGATGGATACTCTGGCACACAGCCTCAATACCTGGCTGACAAACAAGCAGCCTATGCTAGGGTTCTAGGAAAATTCTCCCTACACAGACCAGAGAGCACTCTTTTGAGTTTGGGAGGAAACATAGGACACTAAGTGCAGAGTCATGGCCAGAAGAGGAAGGCTTACAAAGACTCTGGGAGCTCTTAGTGCATTGTGCATTGATGCAGCAGGGGGGCTCTCCAAAGAGCAGCGGTTCTGAAATGGTGTGGCAACACAATGCTACATAGTTAGCAAATGTTTCTTGTGGTATCAAATCATATACAAATTCACAAATGTTCATTTGTCATGTCTCCAGAAGTAAAACCTACTCTCTTGTTCACAAATATAAAAATAGATGGCAACCAGATCCTTAATAAAAGCAGACTGAATTAAGCTATATTTATTAGATGTCATCCAGGCACTGACCTTATTTATGCTGCAGATGGGTACAGCTCTCTGTCTCATTTATTTTTTTTTATTTTTGATCTTATTTTTACTATTTTCTTTTTTGGTACCGACTCTGGGCCTTGCACTTGCTAGGCAGGCGCTGTGCCACTGACCTACATCCCGGGCCCTATATGTCTCATTTAAACGTGCTACTGTTTCCACACCCAGCTCGGACCTAATTGTGCCATGAGCTTCTCCCCAGAGCCTCAGTGTCTAGAGGCTGGCAGCCCGGGGCTGAGGTGCCCTTCTCTTCCTTCCTCACCTCCCTGGGCAGTGGGCCTGCAGATGGGTGGTCTGCATGGGCCTCTGGTTGCCTCTAGCACCTGCATCCCCCAATCCCCCTGGACTGAGATTTGCATACATCACTTCTTGCTAACAAGCCTTGAAAGGTGAGTTGAGAAGGAGTGACTGGACTGCGTCAGTCATTACCCCTTTGCCCTGGATGTCACACATCAAGCTTTCAGACACGGGTGCTGGATGCCATGCTCCTGTGCTTGGAATATCTGTCACCCTCTCCTCCCAAACCCCATTCATTCTTTCATTCCTTCTTGAGTTTCAGTATTCAGCTCAAGTGCTATTTCCCAGAAGATTTTTATAATGGCAGTGTGATTTTTCTCTGGGCTGTATTTCTTCATAACATAAAAGTAAGATTTGCCATACTTTAAGGTAGCCAGTTAATTTGCCTTCCTTCCCTGGTAGACTAGTTACTTTAGGAAATCATGTCTCAGTCTGTCTGATTTGCTTTTCCTAGTGTCCTGCTCATAAACAGCACTCACGCTTGCTTTCTCTCATACTGGGGACCAAAGACCAAGAGGTAGAAGCAAACACTCCACCTCTTTGCTATAATCTAAAGACTTTTACAAGTTTTTATTTAGAGACAAAGTCTTACGAGTTGCAGGGCTAATCTTGAACTTGTATTCTTTGGGTCTCAGCCTACAGAACACCTGGAATTACAGACTAGCTGTACAAAATTGTACAGGTGTGCAGTAGTACAAACCTGTCCCGCAGCTCCTGCTAAATGAATACTTTTTTTTTTTTTTTCAGAGTCACTCTCTGTAATTCAAGCTGAATTTGAACCCACTTTGTAGCCCAAACTGGCCTCATGGTGATCCTCTTGCCTCAGCCTCTTTTTTTTTTTTTTTTTTTTCATGTGTTTAGGGAAGGGTCTACAGTGTCTACAGGGCCACACTATGAAGATCGGATTGGTAGAGATCCCACCTGTTTACAGCCTCCTGAGACCTGGAATTACAGATGTGAGACACCACACCCAGTCTCAATTGCCCTCTCAGCGGGCTGGCACAGCAGGTCCAGGGATCAAACCCCTGGCCCCTGTGCCTGCTTGTGCAGCAGGCACTTTAATCTGCAGAGCTATTTGGCCGGCCCTGAAGTTTTATCAACAGAATTTTAACATTTAGGAGATAGGCTACTTCATCTAGAAAGTTTTAACATTTAAACAGAAGGCTATTTCATTGTGTCTGACATTCTAGCCTTGCATGGGATCCTTCTAGAGTGATATACCTTTTGGTCTGTGTGCCAGTAGTCATCCGGACCCTTAGAATCCTATATCTAGGAACTGTTGCCACCCCACAAACTGATTTCAAGCTATCGATCATCTGCTTCTCTTGGCTGTGACTTACAAGGTCCACCCCTCTAGCCACTAAGAGTGGGCAGATATTTATGGTAAACACTGTAGTCTCTAGGTTCCACGGTGCACGAGGAAAGTTGTTGTTGGGTTGGCTTTCTATTGTTGGGATGGGCTGGCTAAATAGTTCAGGCTGGCCTTGAATTCCCAGGGATAGTCCTGCCTCCAGGGCTACATGCCTGGTGGGAACCGGTACTGTTGGGGTGCGAGGCACTGGCCTCCTCAGCCTCTCTGATCACCTTATTCTGCTTGGCACAAGTCACCACTTTACCTGCATTATATCCTCCTCTAGTCGTAAGCTGCACGAAGTTAGGAACCCAATGCATTCGCACTCAGCCCTACATTCTCCCTGCCAGAGAAACGTGCCAGGCATAACGGGTATCCACGAGTTATTTCCTGCACCGGAGCCAGGGAGCCCTTAGGGTCGCGATCCCCTGGACCACCCAGGCCAACCCAGCAGGGGCGGGGCGGGGTGCGCGCAGCGGCGCTCTCGCGGGGACGCTTCTGGGCGGGGACAGTTCGGGGTGGGGTGGGCGAGGCCCGGGGACTTGGAGAGAGGCGGCGGCGGCCAATGAGCAGCGAGTGGGCGGGGCGACAGGGGCCGCTCGGGAGCGCGCTGGGCTGGGCGTGCCGCGGTGACGCGCGGGGTCGGACGGGCCAATGGGCGCGGGGTGGCGGGCGGGCGGACCCGGCGCCGGGGGCTTGGGACGCCTGCGGGCGACCGGACAGACGGGCGTGAGGCCGCGTCGCGGGAGGCGCATGGCGGGGATGGCGCTGGCGCGGGCCTGGAAGCGGATGTCCTGGTTCTACTACCAATACCTGCTGGTCACGGCGCTCTACATGCTGGAGCCCTGGGAGCGGACGGTGTTCAGTATCCTGCCAGGCGGGCCGGGGCGCTGGGCCCGGGGCCCGCGCGAGGATCGCGATCGGAGCGCAGGGGGAGGAAGAAGCGAGGCGGGGGCTCGCGAGTGCCCGAGCCGGGTCCGCGCGGAGCCGGTGGAGAAGGCGCCCGGGGCGCACTCGAGGGAGGCAGGGACTGTGATCCGATCGCTGGAGCGTGGACGCCTTTGACCTTTAAGCTGTCCCCACCCTAGCTGGCTGGGGTCCAAATGAGGATTCTAAGCCGCTCACCAGCTTTTCAACAAGGTTGTGATTCTGTGGACGCTGACTTCCCAATACGTTTTTCGAAAGCAGTTTAAGTTCCTGGACCATTTATGTATGTATGTATGTTTGTATGTATGTGGTCTTCAAGATGGCAGTTTAAAAAGTGTGCTTGATTCATGACTTTTTTTTTTTTTTTTTTTGCATGCGAGGAAGAAGCCATGCCCGAGGAGGCATTTGTGGTCAGTTGCCCATGGGGTTCGAAACGGTGCCTTGGTGAACGCGTGGTGAAGCCTTGTTAAGGACTCTGAGTGATTACTGGTCAGCAGCTGTGCCGAGCGCTTTGGGCGCGTCTTAGGGCACCCCCGACTTTCACACAGCAGCCTCAGTGAACAGCTCGGGGTTGAAAGCAGCTTCCTGAGGGCTGTGAGGCGGGTTTTCTCCAGTGGTAGGCGAGAACATCCTTGAATGATATTCCCGCAGAATAAAGGCAAGAATGAGATGTGACTTTGTTTTTTAAAACTCGAGCTAGTAGAATCAAAGGTCTCATTTTCCATTTTGGTTAAAGGCAAGGTCTTAGTGGTTTATCTGGAGTAGCTTACTTCAGAGCCACTTTGCAAATGCACGGCGGCATTCCAGTAAGGGAGTGAAGCAATTTCGTTCCAAGCCTTATCAGGTGTGTCGGTGTTGAAATAACGTAAATTAATACCCTACTCAAAGTTGATCTTTTATTTCTGCACTTCTGAAGACTTAGCTGCTTATAAGGTAGTTTATTTCTGTTGATATTTTTTGCCAAACCTGGAATTTAAGAACCAGGTTCATTTTCTGCATCTGTTTGGTCCCCGTCTAGGTTTTGTAAGTCAGGGCTCATGATGTCATGCCTTGTAAAATGTACTCTTAAATGCGTGTTTAATTGGAATTTCTAAGTAGGTATTTTGACTCACTTAAAATCATATTACAGTTAAATGAAACAGCATTGGCAGAAATTGAAACTTTTAAAATCAGAAGTTTAAAAAAAGCAGTTGATTGTAGAGCCCAGTTAGTAGAGTTGGTATAACTTTTACACTTACAACTCTTCGCAGGCATATGGATAAATGTTAACTTTGTCAATGATGTCAAGACAGTAGTAGTAATAAATGTCCTATAAATAGGTGGAGGTTTTGGAGGAGGAGAAATAAATTTGAAGTGAAAATGTACTGCCATAGTGAATATTTGCTGAGGATTTTTTGACTTATCATTGGCTTATGTGACCAAGTGATTTTTTGAAAGCAGAATCTTGCTTATGTAGTTCAGACTGCCCCTAGCTTGCTGTGATTTTTCTACTTCTGGATTATAGGTGTGTGTTACCATGCATGGCATTTTTTTTTTTTTTTTTTTTTTTTTTTTTTTTTTTTTTTTTTGGTTCTCGAGATCATACCTGGGCTTCACACTGAAATATATCACCAGCTTTTTTTTAAAGAGACAGGGCCTCACTATGTAGCCCAGGCTGGCCTTGAACTCCAGCAAGTCCTACTGTCTTGGCCTTCCGAGGACTGAGATTGCAGTTGTGTATGATCACCCCTGGCTTAATTTTTATTTTGAGACAAGGTCTTGCTAAATTGCTCAAGCCGGCTTCACATTTGTGATCCTCCTGCCTCAGTGTCCTAAGTAGAAGTGATTACAGGGGTGTGCCACTGTATCTGGCTGAAATTTTCTTTTTTTTTAAAATTAGAACTGCAACCAGCTGGCATTTGGTTCTGTAGAATTTTAGGGGTTCAAAACCTAAATATTAAAAGGAAAGACTCCTTTTAAAGTTCACATTATTGAGCTAGCTCAGTAGAATAGGCACTTGCCTGGCAAGTGAAAGGTCCTGAGTTCAATTACTGGTACTGCAAAAAAAAGAAAAAAAAAAAAGTTCACATTATTGATTTAATCCAGGGTAGAAGTGCAAACCTTTGACATAAACGAATCTTAAATTACTATCAGATGTATTTACCTCAACTTCTGGGAGCATTATAGTTGGGCATTTCATTGTCTTATAACCTGGAACATTCGTGTGATATTGAATCCTCCTAGTTTGAGTGAAAAAACTAAGTGAAAGAGTTGGAACTACTCTCCTCAGTCTGAAGCCTTCCTGTGAAGTATAATTTCATAAATTCATTAATAACTAGTAAATTTCATCCAGAACTGTTTTGTGACCAGTTACATAGTTTGGAAGGAGGCACACTTTCTGTAGTTTAAGAAGTTACACTGGGGGCTGGGAGCACAGCTGGGGGAAGCGGGTAGGAAGATGAAACTGAATGTGGATTTAATCCTGGGTGCCAGCACCGAAACAGATTACAGAGAACGTGATATGACCACTAGAACCCTAAAATTTAGGGGTTTTTTCCCCCCAATTTTTTGAGACAAGTCTTGCTCTGTAGTCCAGGTTGGTCTTGCACTCACTATGTGACCCAGGCTGGCCTCAAATTTCTGGCAGTATTCCTTCCTCAGCCTCCTGAGTGCTGGGATTACACAAGTGTGGGCCGCCACATCTGGCTAGAAACCTAAAATTTAATGAGAAAGTTCGCCTTGCTCCATCTGAAAATTGGTTTTTGAGTTTGAAGTCCTGCACAGAAGAAGACTCTAGCTTGATCTTTAACTTTAAAAACGTAAATATGTTAGTTTACATTCTTCTCTATAATTTTTTTCTGTATCATTTCATCAATAATTTGAAGTTGTAATTTTAGGGAAAATAATAGCTTATTGTAACTGGATAACTGCACTCTCTAGGGGCTTCCTTGAGCATCTGCCTGTATATTTATTATTATTATTATTATTATTATTATTATTATTATTATTATTTTGGCGGTACTGGGGATTGAACTCAGGGCTCTATTCTACTGAGCCATCTCCCCATCCCCATACCTGTATATTTAGAAGTTATTAGCTTCTCTCCACCCCAAATCAAATAGTTGGAAGTTAGTTAAAACTTGTAAATTGAAAGTCAGTCCCAGCTGAGTGTGCTTTAAAACTTATCTAAAAAAATTGTGTGGGCTGGGAGATAGCTCAGCAGTATAAGCACCTGCCTGGCAAGTGCAAGGTTCTGAGTTCGATGCCTGGTACCACATGCCGTGTGGGCCCCGGAAGCCTGGGCACCGTGCTGGCCCTGAAACAGCATGGTGGCACATGCCTATAATCCCAGCAAAGAAATTGTGGTTTATAAAAGCATTTTAAGGGAAATGTATCTATTATGTCATTAGGCACTTTGTAAATAGTTATTGAAACAAGATTTATAAGTGATATTTATTGATTTATTTATTGACGGACGGGACGGGGTCTTGCTTTGTAGTTCAGACTGGCCTTGAACTCATTTTATAGCCTGGGCTGAGGCCCAAACTCATGGCAGTTCTCCCGCCTCAGCCTCCCAAGTGCTAGGACTATATGGGCTTGCATCAGCATGCCAGGCTTAGGAGTTGTAAATATCCTTCCATACTAGGGACTGTATCTTAAATTTTCTCTTATCTGAATACTGCTACAGCATTTAAAATGATACATTAGGTATCGGTTTGATAGCCAATATTTGCACTTTTCCTGTGTGGACATCTTATAAGGAAGTAGGACCTGAGACAGAGGCACCAATAAAAAGCCTTTTAAATACAAAATTAATTGCTGTTTCAGTGACTACTATTGAAGATATGTTTCCACAGATTGGGAACCATTGACTTCATCTCAGGAGGGAAGGTTTTTAGCTTTAAAATCTTCAAATATGTTTCAAAAGCCCCCTTTCTCAAACAAGTGGGAAAGGAAAAACCATGTTTTGTAACCCAGACAGATTTTGTAACTAGTGAAAAGCTCCCTGTGTGGTGTCATTGAGCAACATTGTAGCCAGTCTGTTGGGAGGCGGGACAGATGAAAGAGTTAAAGTAATTTGAACCATAAATAGGCTATTGTACTCTTGTTTCATTCATTATGTATACAGTTTGATTAATTTGCACTTTCAGGATTATGTTTGCCAGTCTGCTTGTTTCTGTGACATTTTTCTCCTTTCCTGCTTCCTTCCCTTTCTCCCTTTCCCTCCTTCCCTCCCTTTTATCTGTCTCTGTCTCCTTCATTTTCTGTCTGTCTGTCTGCCTTCCTCTGCCTCTGCTTTCTGTCTGTCCCTGTCTCTGTCTGTCTCCCTCCCTCCCCAGTGGAGATCTAACCTATGGAATCATCCACACTTTACTGGTAAAGTACTTTCTCAGCCCCAGCCCTTTTTCTTGTTTTATTTCCTAAATGATAGAATAGAACACCTACTTATGTAACAGCTACATTTATTAGTATTATTAGTAAGCTGGAGAGAGTTTAAAGTAGGTGGGAGGAGGGCCATCCAGATAGCTCCGCAGATTAAAGTGCCTGCTTAGGCAGACACGGGACTGGGGTTCGATCCCTGGTTTGATACCTGGGACTTGTGCGGCACACTGAGAAGGCGGTTGAGACGGGGTGGTGGCACTTGGGAGGCTGAAAACAGGAGGATCACTATGAGTCTGATCTGTGTAGTGAGACCCTGTAGACCCTGTACTAAATACATTACAAAAAAAAAAAAGTGGGAGAAAATATGTAGATTATATGCAAATACTCCCCCCCCAATAGGGATTGAACTCAGGACCTTGCGCATGCCAGGCAGGTGCTTATTCTACTGAGTTACCTTCGTGTTTTCTTTCTTTTCCTTTTCTTTCTTTTTGTTTCTTTTCTTTATTTGTCATGTTTGTGATTGAATCTAGAGCCTTTACAATGAGCTAAATCCCCAGCCCATTTTCATTTATTTAT